TCATGTTTTTTTTTTATTTTTTTTTTAGAGATAAGCCTACTGAATATGAATATACAAACACAGAAAAGAAAAAGTGATGGGATAATCCAAATAATGCATCAAAGACAGGAGCTTCTGTTGTAAAGTCACAGGGAAGAAGCGCGAGTGTATCACGTGTCACACTGTATCACTAAAACCAAAATCATTCCACGACACAACGACATAAACTGGATCATCATCACAAATAAAGAAAGAGGAGACATGTTTGAAGAGCTTTTTTTTTTAATTCAGAGTAAGCTTGTTAGACAAGTTTAGACATCGAACATTAAAGTTTGTACCAAAAGGAAATGAGCGCTGTGTTCCCATGTGCTTCTGACAGCATGTAGGAAAGGGTAATACTGAAACGTTAAAAGAAGGATGTGCAACACTTGACACAAAAATACAGCAGAAATTCTGTATATCCTCTGTAAATGTCTCTCTGAGTCATGACTGTCTACAATGAGTGAGAAGCACCAGCTGTATTGTGTTGTTTACATCATGTTTGCATGGACGGCGCGGCCTTGTGTATTAAAGCTGAAGAGTAACATACTCACTGCTTATTTCCTTTTTCATGTAAGTGTCTTTAGATCTCGGTTATTCTGTGTCAATTTATGTGAAATATGAAAATATGATCTAATCAAAGTGTGCTAACATTAGCATGCTAACACAACAATGCAGGCCACAGGCAATCGCAGCTCAAGCAAAGGACAACTTTGTCTGCCGCTTGCTCTTAATGGTACTTCATTATGGTGCGTTCTAATTCATAACGCCTTAGTGTGAACACGAGTGGAGAGAGGTTGGAGGTGTGTCGCTGGAAGAGAGCGGAGGCTTCAGAATAGTGGAGGTGTCAACCAAACAGCAGTTTGTTTTGGTTTAATGCTGACGCTCAAGAGCGACATCAACTGGATTAAAAAGCTGCACATTCTTCCTTCAAAAGGTTGTTTACTTTAAGTGGACCCTTCATGTGTTTCCTTCAATCTTTATGTATAAAATATTACAATTCTGGTTTCAGTAGCAACCTCTACTCAGTTTTGTTTTTTTTAAACTCTTGTAACGAGCTGACATCAGGCTACAGCTGGCCAATCAGAAAGAGAGTTTCAGAAAGAGGCGGGACTTAAAGCAAGGAGTGAAAACTGGCATGTTTTGAAAAGATGCTGAACTGAGCAGCTGATTCAGATTTAAAACTTTTTTTCCCCAGACTGTAATTAATAAAAAGTGCTCAAGCTGAAACTGAGAATAAAGATACAGAGGTGGAAATTGGTATAATAGATCCTCTTCAACTTCTGTTACATACATCATGGCTATTTTGCCTTTTTTCATTTATTTTGCTTTTTTACTCTCTCAAAGTGATTGCTGAGATGTGGGAACAAAGCAACAGCATAGTCACGTCTGGTGTGTCATGAAAGGAGCGATTTATCACACAGGTTTTAACCAGGGCTCAGGCATTCCTGGCAAATTTGTGATGTATTTGTACAGTCAAGTTTATTTAAAACTGAGTGTTTTAATGCTTTTGTTCCTCACAGATATTGTTGCTATCATATGCTCTATGTTTAACAAATTCGTACTCCAAGAACATGAAATATGGCAACTTGATCAGTGGCCTAAGGCTTAAAAAAACATCAGAATCCATTTAAGAAGACAATCAAGCGAGTTAAAATGAGAACTATGAGAAACCATCATAGTTTGTCTAAGCTAAGCGGCAAATTCCAGTGTTAAAAAGTGAAGCCACTGCAGAAGTGCAACGAACTGCAGTTCCTAGAGTGTCCACTTGAGGCTTTGAGCAAACGCCAAGGAATCACCAAATCAATTTAAAACATGTTTGAAATCTGGTTCACCAAATGGTTTTCATCTTAATAAGTGGTTCTCAATGGGTTCAAAAAGCACTTGACAATTTTTGTTCCAGGCACACATTAATAGCCCACTGAAAACAGATTTGAGACCCACTTTTGAAACATCAGAGTGAGGAAACATAGGGCCTAAATTTGATGGTGGGGGAGGGGTGTGGGGGTTCGTACAAAAGAGGGTACATAGGGATGACCTCAGGAAGCGCACATCCAAACAAGACGCTACAGGAGAGCGGAGTGAACCTTCACATCATATGCTGACGCTTTGAGTCACTAACAAAGCTGCTGTATTCTCTAATCTGGGAGAGGCGACTGTCAGCCATATTCCCAGATCTCAGCAGACAAATTTAGGAGAGTGTATTATGTCATCTTAAATATAAGATCAATCTTATCCATCAACACCACAGAAACATAAATGTAAAAGCGTCACCTTACACAGGCTCATTTCAAACACCAACACTGTTACAGAGTCCTCTTTACAAAAAAGGGAATTAAAATTTAATTAGCACGACAACATTGACATTAGTAGTACAGTACGATCATTCAGGAGTATTCATATTCAGTGCATGTTTAATACCTGTACACATGAAGTGTAAGCAAATAAAATGTCCATCGAAGGTCACTACACTTTAGAGATGAATGTCAGCTGTTAGCAGATACGTTTACAATTCCTCAATGCCAACTGTTTGGCATCTTTTGAAAACTAAATCATGTTTATTCCCTCCACCTGTTGGAGCAGAAACACACTCATCTGCTGGTTCAGGTTGAATGAAAAACCAGGAGAGTGACCGTTGGAGCTGCTGTACACCCAGCAGCATTGAATTGTACATGAAATTGAGGACAGATTTCCTACATGACATTGAGATTTACATTTAGATGACAGCTTCTAAGGACAGTTTAAATCATCCTTTTGTTGTGATTCCTGCGTCCGGCTGATATTTAAATACTTTTGAGTTTGAGTTGAGATGAGGAGGAGGAGGAGGTGAAAAAAGGAAAAAAATAAACAGGAATGTGCCTCAGGGAAATACTAAACATGAACTTTTTGCTTCATCTGTGATGGAGGGATAAGATGAGAATCCGCGCATTGAGAAAAATGATATACAATAACCTTCAGCATCGCTCGCTTTATTGAAAAACCCACAAAGCGGTGGATACTCGTGTGGCCTCCACCTACCGTGTCAGCACTCTGAAATGCGCTTCCTCCTTTTGTCTGAAAAGACGGAGGAGAGCTGCAGATGTCAATAGGCTATTTTCATGAGCCTAGAAGTACGACTGAGCGGTTCTCATTTCAGCGAGATGATTCGGCATACTGTTCCCTGTGTTCTTAAACTCATGTTTACATGTTAGGGGGAAAAACATCAGCTTTACATAGCACCAAAGTAATGTTCTTTTGTATTATTCACATGTGGTTACAAAAAGATTTATGAGCCTAACAGGTTAAAGACGTATCGTGCATACTCTGTATGAGCTGAAGGAGGGATGTACGTCACAGGAAAAGGAACAACCTGTGATTATTATGACTGATATTTGAAATGTGGTATGATTTACTGTCATAGTTACAGAAGCCCTAAGAGAAACCGACCTTGACCCTTTGCTGCATGTCATCCCCTACTCTCTATTCTCACAATATTTGTTGTCTCTCTTCAGCTGTCCTCCCCCCCAAAAAAAATTTAAAAATAAAAAAACTTGTTATTACAGGAAATAATTCCGTACATGACATTTTTGCATGATTATTTTCACTGAGGAAATTGATGTAAAGGATGTAAATTTTGTTTGTGGTTTTGAAGAATAACAAAATTTTGTTTTTGTTTTTTTTACATCTGGAGAATAAGATTTGGTGCCACAAGCATCTCTGCAACACTTCAGTATTTCATGATTTTGAAGTCTCGTCACACATTTGACACTTATTTAAAAAAAAAATTAAGCTTCTTCGGCTGTGAGAATATGGCACTTGGCCATATTGGGATTTTGATAACATTTCAATTAGTTGTGCAGCTCTCGTTTAAAGACGTGATAACCATCCACAAAGTAAGATGTGAAATCTCCAAGCCGACAGGGCTTTCTAGTTGTTTACTTGCAAACTCACAACCTGATTTTTGGAATATTAATGTCTGCATTAAACTCCACATGTTTCCCAAAGTTTAGCATGAAAACAGGGGAAGACTAACATTGATGGGACGGGAGTTAACATGACTCAAACAGTGTACATCGTCAGCAGGTGTTTTCAGACCAAACAGTTCTGGGGACTTTTTGAAGAGGAACTATCCACCAGGGAGTTCAACTGTGTCTTCAGTCGTACATCCATGGTACCTACTCTGAAGCAGGAGCTAAAAAGGTTCCTCTAAACGGGGTTCTAGGACTGAAATAGTTCATAGTTCCTGCGGTGCGGAATCTGTAAAAAAAAAAAAAAAAAAAAAAAAGGGGGGAGGGTTCCAACAGTTTCTAGAAGTATGAAAAAGTTCCTGTGGTCCGAAGCCCCCCCTGTCTGTTAATTGTAATACAGACTAATGCTCCGTATTGGGACACTCTGCTTTAAATCAGGGTATTGTTGTGTTATGTGACTGAGAGTGAACATGACTGTAAACATGCTCATGTGTGTCTCTCTCTCTCAGGTGTCTTGGCTCTGTTAAAAAACAGCTGATGGCGGTTTGGACGGCTGCACAGCTTCTGTTTCATCATCCGTTTATGGAGCTCTGCTTTTGATGTGTAACTGGGGTTTCCAGGTAATGCGAGTTCTGCATTAACAACCCAGCGCACACACTTTGTTCCATCCCGCTGATGGATGACAGTGAATAATGAAACAGATATCTGGCTTTTAAAGTACAAGGGCGAGATGATACTAAAAAAAAAAAAACATCTGGCACCGAGAAGTTTTGTTTCCCTCAAATAAATCTGTGATATTTAAAGGATTATCTACAGCACAAATATGGGTTTTTGTGATGTCGAGCAATAACGTCTTTGACCCTCGTAAGTTTTGTTTTAAAATCGATTTGTTGTTAAAGCAGTTTGCAGCCAGTGTGGACTTACACGACCCTCCTAAATAAAAGCATGAGCATCCTGGAAGCGACTCATCTCCAGTACCGGCAAATCATATTTGCAACAGCTGCAACGAAACAGGAAAACAGATGAAATTCTGTCCTTTTTTTTTTTTTTTTTTTTTAAAAGAGAGCAGAGATTGAATTTTCGGAGACACAAAAGAAGGTATCGTACATTCACATTGTATGGGATGAGAGACAGGCTGGCGAAGCTAATAAAGTGATGCTAATGTGCTTTGTGATGCAGTGGAAGTCCCCAGCTTTCCGCTCCAAACAGATGGGATCTCTCCCTCAGGATCAGATAAAAGATGTCCATCTCCGACTCTGCCGAGCGTGGCACATTCCACAAAAAAACGGCTGCCTCTCCAAGCCGAGCTGTCATGGCTGCTCGCACACAAGTCCTTTCGCATAAAATAAATGTGGCGGACCACATTATCGCAGCCATGATGAGGTTAAATTGAGGCGTATCAGTCTTAACTAATGCAGGAAGAGGAACCCGATCAAAACAATCACAGGGAGCTAATTTGTGTCGGCCTCTGCTGCTGCTGCTGCTGCTGCTGCTGCGGGGGAGATGATGACACACAGTCCTCAACATTCAGAGTGTCCTATAGGCTGACGGTACCTCTAGTAAACAGTATATATGTCCTTATTCCACAGGCTGAATTATAGCATGTCAAGGCCTGTAACCGCGGCAACTCCTTCTCATCATGTATTCAAATCCCTTGAATTTATGGAACGAGTGGTTCGAGGCTAAGCTGTCCAGACATCTATAAATACACATCACCTTGCCGTATATTACCCAAATCACACTGTCAGTGGGAGCTGCCAAACCATAAGAATATTCTCCAAACCCTCCCCGCTTGTCCTCGCCGCCGCCGCTCCTTCCTTCAGTCTACGGAAGCCCTTCCCTCCGGAGATAACGGCCGCAGAGATCACCCTGTCTCTGCGTCCCCCGTCCCTCTCACAAGGTCGTCCTCGCACCCACATTTCAGGGTCGTCGCTCAGCTCGTAGATGGATCCGTCCTCTACGCTGTGCTCCAGGGATTCCAGGGAGGAGTCCGAGGCCTCGTCGCCCAGCGCCGTTAAGGGCCGCCCCGGAAGTCCCGATGTGGTGCGCAGCTTGTACTGCAGCAGGACGCCGCCGCGCCCTTTGCCCCTTCCCTCGCCCTGGTAGGAGCCGGATTGCTGCAGGGATTCCTGGGAGGAGGTGTCGCTGCGGTCCTCGCCTCCGCAGGCGGAGTCCGGGCCATCGCCCACAGAGTCCCTCTTCAGGAGGTCAGGAGACAGAGAGCTGGTGGTCGCTACCAGGAAGTCAACAGGCCCGCAGTGAGCGTTCAGAGACACCATTCCCTTTCCTGCAGCAGCAAGACAGAAAGAAGATTTAAATATCATCCAGGGAGGAAATCTATTCTGCTCCTATAGGAGGCTGAGGTCATGTCGTTCACAGTTAAATCAGGTTGTTTTGATTGAGCGCCCCCTGGAAGCAGAATTCAAATACTGTCCGCTTACGGTTTCTGTTCAAATTAACTCCTTTTTTTTATTTTATTACTTCAAATCAAATGAAAGAACTTCACAGTAAGTACAATGAACATTAGCTTGGAGGCTAACGTTGTGTTGCTCTGAATCTGCTCCATCCGTGAAGTTTGGGGGTTCAGTTACAAATGTTCCCCGTCACAAAACAGCTCCCTTTTCTGGCTGAAGATGATTTCTCTTTGTCTTTTTTTGGTCTTGATGCGTTTCTTCTTCTTAAGTTTAAGTGCGATTCACTGATGGATATGCTAATTCATCTGACTTTCCATGTGTTGTGGTCCTATCTTTTAAGGATTATAATCGATCTTGATATTTGAAGGACCGAGCATGACGATGCCGAATGAAAATATGTCAGTGAGTTAAATAAATGCTAAAGTCAAATGTATGTTTTAAAAATAGGAAAGAAACATATGTTTTTGTTGAAATGCAGGGGGTTAAATTTAAAACATGTCGACCTCCATAGGTAGAGTGACATGGTGTTCTTATTCTGTTACATCCATCCTCTGCGTCAGTCACACTCTGGATGGTACCGTACGTCATACACACTTAACTGTATTTACCTTTTATTTTCTCATGCTGCAAAAAGAAACAAGGGTAGCTATATGTGTTGTTGTATTTACATTTATTTAATAAAGTAGCTTTGAATGAGACGTTCATGACGTCCAATTTGTGTAGGTGGAAAACTTAATAACCTCATTCACTTTTGATTATCAACAAATCGCTGCCGGGCAGTTTTTAAATTACCCGAGAATAATATATATACACAGCTATATCTGCACTGATTCCCAGAGCGGCCGGAAAAATGTGAAGTGTGACCTCAATAATGTGCACAGTCATTTTCAGGAAGAAAAAGAAAAAGAACACTCTGCTTTTCTTCTGACCTCCGGAAAGGCCACTCAGTCCCAGCGAGCCGCCCCCCAAGATCTGATCCATACCTGTTATTTTGGGGATGCCCTCCAGTTTGGGAACTGGAAGGGTGATGATTAAGCCCTGGGCGGTGCCCACCCAAAGCAGCCCCTGGCAGATGAGGAGACTCGTTACTCGTATGCTCTTCTGACCTGAAATACAAAAAAAACACAAAGACACAAGAAGGAAACCATCACTGACTGTGTTACACAATGAGAGGGAACTACACTGGACTAATGGAACCTATAAGGAATACATGTGGCCAATAATACTATACATTTTAGAAAAGGGATTATAGAGCAAGACAATCATGAAAAGAGATGCACCGATCCAGTTTTTTTTTCTGTTCCAAACAGATTCCAATACATTTGTGGCGATGCTGATATTGCTTTTTATCATCATTAATAGTGTTATTGATATTGTTGGTATTTTGTGAAAGGCTACACAAAGCTGCAGTTAACCCAGCTTTTCATTTCTTATTCAAAAATATTACCAAATAAACAAAGAAAATTTTGTAAAGATTTAAATCATTCCCAAGAAAAAGCAATTTCAATATTGTGTCAACAGGAAGCAGCTACAACTGTGAGCTTTTCAAATTAAATCTTTTAAACTGAAGTATAAGAATTGTACTTTTGATGACATAGAAGGAGCTGTTCCATCTCCTCTGAACGTCGTCATGGAGACGATTTGGGGTCACTTCTTATAGTTTAATGTTTTCAAAGCAAGACTCTGCGAGATCAGAATGTTTATCTCGGCATCGTCTGTCTGATATCAGGTGCCTCAATCAGTCTGTGTTTTTAGTAAAGTCAGATAAATAGGAAAGAAAAAACTTATTCTAAAGTTTTTTAGATTGACAATTGTCTTTCCTTACTTCAACCGCAAAAATGTTTATGTTAAAGTAATTTTGAAAAGTGGAAAATTAACATATTTAATTATATGTGATAGTTTCTGATTTGATTCAAGTTCTGTGATCAATCTTTTTTTTTTTAAACAGTCAATGATGAGTGAATTATGAACTATCTGTCTTTCTATCTTTTTTTTACAAAATGGCACAGACTTTGAAGAAGGTTTTATTATAAGCAAAAGTTTAACAAACATGCTTTATTGCATGAGGTTAAATTAAATGTATCGTAGGTAATCTGTGTTATCTTTGCATCCAGCAGGCTCAGCACATACACAGCTCTGTCACACAGTGCTGGGAGTTATGTAAGATTGTGAAAAACTTGGATTTGTCTAGCTGCTGCTGACCCAGTTTGAAGAAAAACTCTCACAGACTCTCGATGTAGGAAGCAGGACTCTGTGAACTTTATGTATTTTACGTATTCCAGATCTGAGTGGTTCCTCAAATACTGAGCTTCAAAGATTCACCTCCTACTGAACAAAGCAAAACTGAAATGCAGGGAAGTTATCTTTTATTGATAACATGACAGACACCCAGGAAGCTTCTTCAAATGCATCCATGATAATCCTCCAGAATATGAAGGCCGTGTGGAGCTGAGGCTGACATCATGCAGGGGTTCTTAAGGTCTGTGTGAGCATGTGGAGACGCTGCTTGATGGATATTTTCATGACATTTGGTTAGTTTTGGTGCAACTTTTTTTTTCTTTGTCAGATCAACAAACATTTTTTTTTAACCTGAAAAAATGTCAAACCATGTGGCACACTTGACTGTGTTCAGGAAAGTCTTTCAATCATTTGGACAAATCTCTATCAGAAAAAGTGAAGTAAAAAGACTTCTGTAAAGGCAGGGTTGGTCATTTCCTTCAGATACATATTTTAAGATTTTTGGTTGAAATTGTCTTTAGGTCCTGACAGACATTAATAACTCATGAGCTCTGAAAAAAGGAACAAAGAAAATACGTCATCTGTAGCAGTTGTAAGCGTGTAAAAACTTCGACCAATGTCTGCCATGAGGTACCAATCTGATGAACCAATCAGAGCCTCCCTTTCTCCCTGCTCGTTTTCTACCTCGTGCACTAGTCCACTCTCATTGCGCATGACGGAGTTTACACTCATAGCTGAATGAGACATGAGACGACGTAGTTTCTACACAATGCTAGAGATGAGCTGAGATCCAGTTCTGAAGCAACGGCGCTCGTGCATGTAAGTGAGGGGGCGTGGCTTTAGAGGGAGCACAGAGGGGAGGAGGGTGGTGTAGACGGAGCACTGAGGGAATGCTACTTTCTAAATCATGCTAATTTTTAAAAATGATCAACCCTGCCTTTAACTTTAAAGTTCTTAATAGCATCCAAAGTTTGATGAAAGGGAAATTATTTCAGTAAGAGATGGCCTTCTACTCATGGACTTCAATCAGCTTGAATCATGCAAGTATGATTCACTTTAAAACAAAGCAATACAGCAGCCCAGCACATACTCATAACGGCGTCAAGCACAGACGCCTCGTCACAACACTCTCATTTCATACAAGTGAACATAATTCACCTCGAGATCCATGCTGGGTGAACGGACGTTTGAGAAAACTAAAAGGATTAATCATCGGTCGCACATCATGTCACTCAAAGCACACTCAAATATCAAATGTCAAATATCACCATGGTTACATTTGTCATCTATCAAAATAACGGCCTAAAAAGAGTCAAACTCCCTCTGGGTTTGTTGTACTCAGCTCTGTGTTCACACTGACAGGACGGTGCTTCCTTCAGCTCGTTTGTTCATCACTCAGAGGCTCAAACACGTCTCACAGGTTGTTTTTTACTCATGAACCCCTCCCTCTCTTTATAAGGATTTATTTTTAGGCATTTTGTGCCTTTATTGGAGAGGTAGGACAGTGGATAGAGTCGGAAATCAGGGAGAGAGAGAGTAGGGAATGACATGCGGGAAGGGAGCCACAGGTCGGATTCGAACCCGGGCCGCCCGCCTGGAGGACCACAGCCTCCATACATGGGGCGCGCGCTCGAACCACTGCGCCCCAGAACCCCTCCCTCTCTAACCGTTAGCCCTGCGACTACGTGGGGGAAAAGAGACTGCGCACGCTAACTCAGGGAAAATGATTCAAGGGTTAAATCCACTTCAGACACTAATTTAAAGGCTGTGGTGCGAACTGTATGCTGCATGTTTTATTTCTTGTCTGCCCTTTTTATGTTTTTTCTTTTTTCTTGATATTTTCTAAACTGTTTTACCGTACTTTTAGAACTGATTTTATTCCATAGTAGATTTTTAGGTATATGTATGTGACTATATGTTGCATGATCTTTCTGCCACACTGCTTTGGGCTGGGTGAATAGCATTTAATCTTTTTTAAGTGCGCAGATACATGAGAAGAATGATAAATAAACATAATCTTGAATAATGACAGAGTGTCATCGTAAGAGTTCAACTGAAGGAGAACCAGCAGACTTTCCAAACTGCAGAAAACATTTTCTCTGCTACCCACAAAGAAACAGATAACAACCGTATCAACTTGGAGATGTGTGTTGTCACTTGAAATTGATCGCAGAATCTTGTTTTCAGATGTTTATCGCAGCACTTGGCTTCTGCTGCTCTCCGAGATTGGGTGGGGGGTGGGGGGGGGGTGCAGGCAGGAGGGGAGCGGGGAGCTGAGGGGTAAAGGAGGTGTGGCCAAAGATAGCATTGTTTTTTTGGGGTCTAAAAATCTGCTCTAAAAGTGGCATAGCAAGCCTTTAAGGGTATCTTTTGTATCTGAGTAAGACACACAGGGTGTTAATTTAGTGTTTGGAGATGTGTGTTAATGTCACAGCTTCAACATTAACTGTTAGAAAAGTAGAGATCTGTGCTTTTAACTCGCGCGCATTTGAATAACTTAATATCATAGTTAAACTTTGATGAGCAAATTGTAACATTGCTTTTTGCAGCTCTCTATTAACTTGACATATGATGCAATTCTGACTGATTTTCCAGTCCTTCGGGGGCACTGATTTTTCATTTTCACATCTGGTGATCGAGAATGGTGCGTTAGGGAAACACACAATATCTGGTCTGCAGTTTCTATTGATGTGTGCACAGCATTTGCGACAGGAAGAGGGATAATTGTTCCCTTATTATACATGCACATGCTTTGTTTCCACTTCACAAAAGGGCTGAAAAAAAAAAAAAACAGTGTTTGTTGTGGATTTATTTTTGCATTCTCTCTGTGGTCCCTCGGCTCCTGGCTCCCACTGTGGCCTAGTTTATCTATAGAACCATTTGGCATAATATCCATGGCAACCATAATTGAATTACACCAACCCTCATTTGATCACAACTAAGAGAATGCTGATTTACACGTGTAGCTGAATTTATGTGTTTGTTTAGTGTGATGCTCAGATTATGATGATTTGCATGAGTGGCCCAACATTGTCATTAATTAATTCATGTCACTGTGCAGAGATGAATCATAGCGAGTAGGAAGCTGATGCTGTGTGTAGAAGAGGAGGCAGAGCAGAGGAGGACAGTCAGCAAACACAGAAGCCACAAGCTTTTATGTGGAGACCTTGGAGGTGCTTGTGTAAACCAGACTTAATAATGAAGTGCATTTTTAACTCTGTTGTACTTGGACTGTATTAATTGTATTGATGTAGCTGCAGTGACATCACAACTTGGTTTTATGAATCACTGAGTTTGGCAAATGGCTATTTGGTGTTTGTTTTTTTGGGGGGGCCAGATGACCAAATTTGGAAGTGAGGAATCTCAACTTTTTATTTTTTATTTTTTATTTTTTTACAGTGTATAGTTGCCATGAAAAAAGAAATAAGCTATGAAGTCCAAAATGCATCTTCTACCTGGTTGTAAATATGTTTAATTCTGCTGCAAAGTTAGGTTTTTTATATGGGGCCAACTCAGAACCGACTCACTTTTGGAGCCAGCCTCAAGTTGCCAATCCGGGAACTGCAGCTTTTTGGCACTTTATGCCACAAAAAAGCCTTGAAAAAGTCCTTTATCTCAAAACTCTCGGCCACCTCCTCACAACACCTCAGACTGCATTTGTACTTTGGTTGGAGAGCTTAAGAGGCGGACTGATACTTCTGAACAACCACTCTTGGGTTACCATGAAATCTGAAGGTTGTCAGGAGATGTGGGCGCCAGGCATTGTATCTAAGAATGACTATGAAGCAGCATAACGACTAAAGCACTCAAGATTATGGAGGTTTAGCTGAACCTTGAGCTATCTTGCAGCCTTTGCAGAGATGCACACACTCTAGAGTGTGTAGTTGGTGTATCATGGGAGCCGGTATATTTGCCTTAAAAAAGAAGATGTCTCCAAAGATAAATGTTCCCTCTGATATGTCACCAAGGAGTTTATTTTGGAATATTATTTTTCACCCTCAGGATAGGACTATTAAAGGCATTAGTAGGGAAGAGATCAGCAGTTTTCTCTGCTTCAAAAACTTCTCTGTTGTTTACTGCAACTAGAAACTCCCTGATGAGGATAAATCACATTAAGGGGAGAGGATTAGAGGGTATATCATTACTGCATGTCCTCGCATAAGTCAAGGAGAAACCTACAGGAGCAGGAACCCTTTTGACTGAGGGGAATCTGTCAGGATTTCGTGTGCATTATCTGCGGTTGCAGAGTGTCAAAGGGATCTTCTTGTCTCCTGTGAGCTCGACAAATCACAACCTGAGTCAGAGATTCTTTTTTCCTTTGGTGGATCTCGAAAGACATGAGCCGCAAAACTATTTTCTTTGGTACTTCCCAGAGGGCCGGGGCCTTGAGGCTACCACCCTATACCCTCCAATGTGCTGCATATTTCAAGTGGAGGCACTGACGCTGGGTGAAAATGACCTGTGGGTCACAGGTAACACCCCCTCCTACACCATGGCCAAGTCTGTTCTTCTAAAATTCTCCCCTTGAACAAAAAAAAAAAAAAACTTTCTTCCTTTCTTTTTTTGCTCAAGTCACAAGAGAAGCCCTGTTTTAATTCCTGATGAGCTAAAGCACTACCACAGCTCTGAGAGTTGCTCTAAAAACATCAATCACAGCCTGGTGTGACTTCACAAGAAAGAGAAATGCAACATTTATACGACTTGCTGAAGCTGAGGTTCGTACATGCACTGAATGTGTTACAGCCTGAACATGTTTAAAAGGAGCTGATGTTGATTCATATGTACTATACTTTTCACCAGCAGGCACTTTTAGCTACGCTTCATTGCTATCTAATTTGTTTACCGTATTTCACCCATTAAAATAGAAACAAACACCAACACCGGCTGATAAATATTTCATCCATCATGAAAGGAAGTAATGGGCGATCTGTGGCATCCTAAACATACTGCAGTGAGATGTGAAACAGGGGTGAGAGGATTTTAAAGCACAGCAGACGAGAAGGAGAAAGAAAGTGGGCCAAATCGAAAAAGGAATATATCAACTCAAAGTGGAGAGTGGGGAGGTACATGTTGAGAAACAGAGGTAAAAAAAAAAAAAAAAGCAGGAGGATAGAAAGAGAAACATGGACATATAAAGAAAGACAAGTGTGTTCCCATGGGAACCCTCGGTATGAAAATCTTTAAAGCTGCCATTTTAGTGCTCCTCAATGACTTGATTTCTTTTTTATTAATCCCTGCCTCTAACCCCACGGCTTTATTATGGATTTAGGAAGGCCTGAGATGGATAGTTATTCAGGTGAGTCCCTGGAGGGCGAGACCCTAGGAGCAACTTGGACGAGACAAGAATATCGTTCGGGGGAGGAGAGCACCATCAATGTTTAAAATACTGCCCTCTCATTGCTCTGATGTAATAGAGGCAAAGTGGGGCTTTTTGTGGAGAGAATTTTGACACCAGTAATTGTCACAAGAATTTTATTTTATTTTTTCAAATAAAATGAATGAATAAAATGATGTGTTTGTGGTGCACTAGAGTAAAAGTTGACCTCTCTATAAGAAGACTGAGGGCCTGATTTACTAAAGGTGTGTGTGTGTTGAAACGTGTATTAACCAATGTGCAAAATGATCTACTAACCGCAAGCACTGAGGATTGCGTCTTTAAATGTGCAAGATAACACACATTGTCCATTTAAGACGTTTGCCTTAATGAATATATGGGGCGTTTCAGCCCGAGCGTGCAAAATACTGGGAGGAGAAAATGAAAACAAGTTAATTTAGTACACAAAAAGTGCGATTTACCAAGACTGACAAAAACTGAAATTTGCGCTTGCAGTCATCCTGCTTTCCATCCAAACTACCCATGACATGAACCAGTAAAACACGCAAAAGCCTCATTTCAATACCAGCGCCTCCCCACAAGGTTTGCACCAGTCATCATTCACAACATTTTTGATCACCTGCAAATCGCACACCAACCAAACGTACAATGTGTGCAGTGTAGTGTGTGAGATGAGTGCGTACCGGTGCTCAGCAGCGTTGAGCGTGTTGAGATGTTGATCTCCTGCAGAAGCTCCAGAGTTTCAGTATGAAAGAGACGAATGGAGGAGCCCTCGGAGAACGCCATCCACACCCCTCCACCGGCACAAGCCATGTGTGCAACGCTGACCATCGGGTCTGGATGGACTTCAAACTTCTGTGAAGTGAAAACAGAACAAAATGTTGTTATAGATAAAAGCATCACACATAAAAATAAAAATAATGTGCCGGGCTAATCACTGATGTTGAAACCGATGCATCGGTGCATCCCTTGTGGAAAATGCTTTTGGAATATTCTGAAGGTATGAAAATATAGGTAAACATAGGTATGCGTATTAGAGTGAGACAGTTCACAGGTGATTTATCAGGATGTGATTTATATCAAAACAAATTAACGCTCATGCTCACAACACGGGGCATATCCCAAGCCCTGAATTTTAACTTCAGCTGTTGCGCCACATTCTTCAATAAAGTCTTAACAGTTTCTCCTAATTTTGTAATTTACACAGTCCCTGACACATTAGTCATATTTTTGCATCATTTCCCTGGCTGCTATCTTTTTTTTACCAGCACAATGGTAAAAGAGAGTTTCAGGCACCCAGTCTTAATGAGCAGCTTGAACCAAATGCAATGAGCCTTATCATGGCAACACATGCAGCCCCTGCAGTCCAAGGCGTGACAAGGACTGGTTTGGGCATCATCTTAGAACTCATATCACTGTCGGAGCATGAGTTGCATGAGGCTGGGCAATTAGTCAGTGAGAAAGAGTGGATAAAGATGAGACCGCAACGCAACACCCCCGCCCCCCCCGACACCTCAACCAAAGTGCACTAGCGGACAGGGATTACCACCTGTTTATGCGCCCTTGCCAGTGGGCCCTCTTTTGTTTGGAATTGGGAAAAGGAAAGAACACTTTGATGTGTTTTCTCTCTTAATTGACTACTCAGCATGGTGCATGCTCTGCCTGTGAAAGAATAGGCAATGCATCTCTGTGTGTTTATTTTAAGTCCAGCCATCATAAAAATGAGATATTCATAATTAAAATGGAAAATTTCACCTTTAATAACCCATCGCATTTCAAATGAGTTGACAAGTTTGTAAAGGAAAACACAACCCTGCAGTATATGACACATTATCATCACATTAATCATGATCAAGCGTGGTGGCTCTAAAAGGGACTTCCAGCTAATACATGGCCGACATGCTGTAATTGTCTCATGCCATCCTGCTCACCATATGTTCAAAACCACCTGGAAGGCTTCTTGGAAACTACATGGAGCCTACACAGACTCATTTGACTGCAAAACACAGGGATCTTAAAAAGTGCTTGAAATGAGTGTCTAAATCATTGATTTCAGTTCCCACTCCAGGCTGTTTTTGGTGTTTTTTTCCATATAGTTCTGAGTCCTTTGGTGAAAACATTGATAAGCCCACTGGCGGCAAAATATGTTTTGTCAGATAACCTAATTTTGAACTTGAGTTTAAAACTACTGAGTGATATTAATGACTACATTACAAGCTGCAAATCATACATCTTCCTCCAAACTTGTTCAGCCCCACTGCCGTGACCTGATGTTGCGCCTGGGTGAAACTTAAAGTTCATGTACCGTGTGTTTCTGGTTCCAGGCCACACTTGAATTTCCAAAAGTACGACTCTTTTTTTATATACTTTTTCGTGGCAACACCGAGCAATTTTTTTAGCGAAACAATCTTTTCTAATTTTCCATCAGATGTCCTCAAGCCTCTCTGCATGAACTCTCTGCGTTTGGAGAAGTTTTTCTGATGGACAGTTTTCCTCGTTGTAGCCGTTAGCATTCAAGCAAAAGTTGGGAAACTTAAGTTAAACTTGGAAAATGCCAGAACTGGATGTCCAGGGCCCCTGGGGGGATACATTGTGTTTACGCAGATGGCACAAAAGCTGTTGACTAGGAGGACCAGGTTTTCAAGTCAGTGCATGAGGAGCCAGCAAAGAAAGCTTCTTTGAAGTCACCAAGAAGTGCAGACCAGATGACAAAACGCAGATCTTTCAGTCAACATGGCCGGAGGAAAACCTGACAGAGGCCGATTTGAAGGGAATTTTAGTGCCAGATTGCTCTGTAATTACACACAGCCCAGGCCCACCTCCTACCGTCTATCTATGCCGTGTCTGACACATACAGGCAAGCTGTATGTTTTATAAAGACACACAAATAACACAACTCGAGTTTTAAAACTTTTCACTCGATGTTCTCTTATCATAACAGGTGACATGGCTGTATGACAAGGCTTTTTAATTGCATAGCAAATGACATCGACTTCAAACAATGCAAAAAAAAAAAAAGATTAAAACTGTGGTGTGAAAGAGCTCATACTTCACATGAGACATCACACCTCAGTGAATGCAATGACAGGAGGGAGGAAGACGTGTGTCTGGTTGATGCTAGAGCACGTGTCAGGTGATGCAGGTTATCAGACGCGAGGCAGAGAGCAGGGGGAGTTTGTCCAATAGTTCAATCACCATATACAGTTGAAAAAGGTGAAAATTGTTGCTGAATGTGCGAGAACCACTTAGTGAACATAATTCAGTCTCACATTGAAAGTTCTGTTGCACATTATAATAACAAATTCTTCCCATCATGACTCTTTGTGGAGTTCTGATTTGCTTGTTGTCTCTGACATACTCCATCTGTTGTATGCATGGTCTGGGTGGACTGTGGAACCGGACTGCGCTCTGGGATGAATACAGTTTTCTAAGTCTTATCCCCATAATGGAAAGCACATTTATCATGACAAATTCCTACCACACTTGGCAAGAAACCCATTCAGTACTGTGCAAATCCTCCACAATCAATTCATGTTGGAATGACTGCACTCAGAGATATCAATCTGGTTGTCATGGTTATTGGTCTGACTTTTCAAAAATAATTTAGAATGTAAGATCTGGCTGGAGAAGGAATTTAGATTACCAACATTTTGAAGTAAAAATCAACTCACCTTTACATCGAGATTGCAAAACAGAAACCTCGTAAGACTTTATCAATAAAGAGCAAGCCTTCAACACCCCCGTCTCACAGTGTCAAAACAGGAGAAGCACAAGCCACAAGTGTTAACCCCGATCAACAACCTGGTATTAGCCTGCTGGATCCAGTGTAGCTCACAGAGAGATGAGGTGGTCAGTGGAGCTTGACAGTAGTAATGTGCCCTTTCCTCTCAACTCGGCAGTGTCACACTAACAGCAACATTCCTCCGTAAGTCCTCTGCCAGCAGTGGGAAATAACATCGGACCTAAAGCCACAAACACTCCAGCTGCTCTGAACAGCTCATTAGTCCTTCATTACGCTAGGTGACAAGGTGTCTTTGTCCTTTGCCGAGCACTGAGCCCACATTTCCACTCAGAGCTACATCCAGGGAGTGGAGTGGATGTGTGAGTGATCGAAAAAAAGCGGGAGGAAAAAGAAATAGTAATGGGACGAGGAAAGAACAAGGCATTGGTAGTCAGTATTGATAAAAGCCTGTATGTCCATGCGTGTCCTACTTTGTTAAGGTTTGGTTACATAGGAGTGACTGAGACCTCTGCAAAGCGCTGAAGATTTGAAGCTTGGAAATGATGCCAAGATTGGCTCTTAGAAAGTCACTTACAAGGCAGAGAAGTTTGTTAAACCAAGACACAATTGCAGGTTTAAAGAAAATAATGTGTGTTAAAATCAAACGAAGCATAGCAGTATTGTCATTTTCAACTCAACCCCCACTGAGTGACTTTCTGCAGAATCAGAATGACTTTGATTGGCCGATCTTTTACTAATTTCCTCTAAAAATTACTTTGTTCGTTTGTTTTTGTTAACCGTGATCCCTGCTGATACCGACCTCTTTCAGTTTGTTGAATACGAATTTAAATTGGGTTTATTCTTTGTGATTTGTATTGAGTATTCTTAAAGTAATTTTCAGCTTTTTCAAATGCCAGAAAATGGCGTTCTCCAGCACAAGGATGACCACATTGTTCTGTAAACAGGGTCTTCTAGTTCTAACAGGAGCTGAAAACATGCCAGTATGGACTATAAGACCAAACAAACAATTGATAGAAAATTAGAAATTCCAGCCTTACACCAAACTACTTTTCAAGCGATGCCAATGCTGCAGAAAAACTCAGTCCGTGTCAATGTTTTTCTTGACTTGATATTTGGATAGGATTTAAGATGTCTGAAGCTTTTAATGACTCTTACAGTCTTGGTTCATGCAAAGAGTGCAGTTCAATGGCGTGAGTATTGTCATCGAGCATTATTTGAGGTAGATGATAAACCAGAGTTGGACTCCAGCAAGCAGCACCCAATGCTTCTGTTCTTAATTGAATTTGTCATGATATTTGGCTGTTTGGACTTGATCTTGTTCCCACCAAATCAACGGGACACAGTGAAGAGGTGGTCTGGAGGAAGATTTAAGTGTACTGGAGTACCTGTTAATCTTTCTTGTAGACAGTGACCCTTGAAGATGCTAAATCTTTGTAGTTGTGTAGTCAGTAACCATCATAAGCAGACAGCACACATTTTTATTGTCTCTGTTTCCAGTGATAATGACTAATTTTTGGATGTTTTCAGATTTGGATCTTTTCAAAGTTTTTCAGTGTTGGGTTTACATAAGAGGTGATGATTGTCCTTTTTGGGTGACATTGGATTTTTTTGTGGAGGTCTGGTGGCCACTGTGACACACCGACTTGTGGCACCATTGAATTATATCTAGCTCTCTAAATACATGCAAGAATTCAAGGTAGTATTAGCTATGATAGAGCTTATGATTAGAATCCTCTTATTAATCCAGATATCTGCTTAGTAATGTCAGAGTGACAATTTAAGCTTGAATACAATCTTTTGATGCAATTGTCATGAAAAAACTGCCAGAAAGAAATACTTTTAAATCTTTTGTTTCCCTGACTTTTACTTTACTTCCGTCTTCAAATATCTTACATTTAGAATTGTCGAAGGTTAAACTTTGAGACTCTGTGATGATTACAAGACATCTGCATTTTCAGACTGATGAAACAGCTTCTACATCCTGAAGTTCCTTCAGTAGTGAGCAGCCGGTCTATTGTTCAGGTTTTGCCAGCAGTATTATTTCATGTTCCCCCCCCCCCCGGGTCAGAGTTTTCACAATCGAATAGGATAAATGTACGCACACATTTTAAAGTGGTGACGATCCTTTCGGTTTGTGTTCCAGGCAATATTTTGTACCCTGAATAATGTATTCAACTGTGTTTACCAAAAACAGACTGAAAAGGTTATATTCAAATTACACTGTGTCATCAAGGCATTGACCGTGAAGACACAAAACAAGAATAAATCAAGCAGTAGGGTGCAAGAATCATCGGTGTCAAACAAGACAGGCAAGAGTGTCCAACAAAGTCACGGATAAATGATTCACAAGAGCAGAAAATCTGACAAAGTGGTGAGCATCAGCAAGGGGAAAACAACTGAAAGAAGTAAAGTGGATTTAAGCGCACGGCCCTTAAGCCTGGTTCCAAGTCATATCTCCTGGTACAGGTGCCAAAGACTGCTTCTCCAGATCCTGGATATGCATCGCAGCCCCCATGAAATCCGCCCTCCTGAGTCCACATTAGTGAGAAAGACAAGGTTAGCAAAGAAGTAACCAGAGCCGACCTGTTCGGCTCTGTGGGAGATACAGTGAACCAGAACTGTGTCTGCACTGCGTGGCCATTCAGGTGATTAAGTAGGAGTCTCCAGAGGAAACCAGCCGGGAAGAGGAGGTGAAGGAATAAAAAGGGGACGTCCCCTATCTCAGCTTCCTCCTGATTATGAGGATCCTGAAGCAGACTCAATCAGCATCTGTCTCTGCATTGATCTTACACATTTGTCAGATCGTTTCTCTTACTTGTTGCAACTTTTCAAAGACAAAAAATCTGAATACATGTACATATTAAAGACATAATATGATCCACTTTGACAGTGTTTTTGAACATATATTTTTGAAACCACCCATCGACCCACAAAATGTGAAATAAACCCATCCAGTCCTTTGTTTGTGGTCTGCATAAGTCTTACAACACAGAGACAAATGCTCCATTTCAAATTTGCTCTCCTTGTGACATCACAGTGGGATTTTGGTAAAAGAAATCCCCTCCCCTCCCCTGGTTTCCTCCCATGGACTCCACCCCCAGCCTAGATCAAATCTTTTTGCGCAGGTCCGCCATTTTTATTCTCACTAGTGAAGGAGTGATGTCTACTGGGAAAACTCAGGGGAGGGCTCAATGCATTTAAAGAGACACACACACCAAAACGGAGCTTTCTGATAGAGCTGGTTTATACAGGGTCACAAACCTCCTCTGGTGCTTGAGCCATGTTATATTTTGAACAAAGCACAGCACAGATGTTTCATTTAGACCACAGGGGACTGTTTGAAAAGGTGGAACAGAGGGATAATATGTCCTCTTTAAATTATAATTAACATAATGAAAGAATCGAGTGCTTCTTTGCAGTATGCTTTCTTTATGGGCTGCTTTTAAATAAACATAAGAGCAACAAAAACATCTGCAATAGCAAATGAAATGCGTGGTTAAATGCATATTTTACAGTTGTCACTTTCCTAATTATTTTTTTTCTGGAAATGCTCATTTAAAATGGAAAAACAAATTCATTAAGTGGGAAATGAGACGAATGCATTTAGTTTATTGTTTGTATTATAGCTTGTTTGCTTTTCAAATTCAGCATCATATTCCAATGTCATCAGCTTATATTTAGCCAGGAATGGTTTGCTTAGCGTACATGCTCTTTTTCAGCAAAAAAAAACTATTACACCCATTTTCTCAGCTACGCACACTCACATCTGGGAGCTATAATTAAATGCTAATGGTTTACAGTATGCAGCTGAATACCATATTAATATTACCCAGAAGAGCCTGTTCTCTGTCACTCATTATTGTCTACTACCACCGGAAAAGTCACCCCCCCTTGTACACCTCTAATGACACAGCGGTCAGATGAACAGCTTGGGGAATGCAAAGCATGACAGAGACAACACCCAGGATGTCTTTATTTTTTTGGAGATAATAGTGCGCATTGCTGTACCATAACTCAGAGCACAGCGGCAAAATGAGGCTTATTTGCGTGGGAGAGCTCGGGCAGACATTGTACGGCTCTACAAAGCTTTTGATTGGTTGTCCTAACAGCAGCTTCAAGGCAGTAAATCTTGATGACATCACAGATTAGAAAGCTGGCTCTCTGAGGCTGTGTGCATAAATCTTTTCAGAAAATGAAAGGAGGGTAAATTTTCCCTCAAATGCTGCAAAAAACACAACAAAAGAACAAATAAATAAAAAAACACCTTGTCTGGCATTTTCACTGATGAAGCCATCCATTTAAAGCATGAAACCATGTTTTAGTGAAGACTGAGAATATTTATCAGCCGGGCAGGCGGGTGGAGCTAAACTTGCCAGTAAGAAAAGAGAAACATAACAAATGTCCTTGAAGGTCATCTTTCAGCTTGTTAGACAGTCCTTTAGAACAAGAGGCTTTGATATCGTATAAATACTGGTAATGAACAGCCTAATTGCTGTAATAGTGTAAAATCTGTCTCTCTTTAGCCGTCCTATCTAATACAGGCAAAAATGCCCCCAAAAAAGAACAACTATATATATATATATATATGAGAAAACGATCCAACATACTGAGATCCAACATACTGAGAAAGAAGCTTGTACACCCCAAGGGCAAAACTCCCAGGCATAAACAAAGCAATGTAGGAGGGGTTTACACAAAGGGAAACCAAACAACCCTTACAGTACATAAACGTAAGGTGATCGTCAGCACCTCAGGTCAGGACTCAGCTGTCCACGTACATCTTGAGGACAAGGGAAACTCTCTGAAGACATTAAGGTTAACATCTTTGCCAGAGAAGACTGCTGAATTGTTAAAAAAGTCGATGAAACTAAAAAACGTCCTTTACCAGAGGTAGTGGTCTGAGACACCACCTCCCCACCATACAATATATTTTGTCATATTTAATTCTAAGATGACAAAATAACAGCTGGCAAAGGGAGGGCCAATTAAAATCAGCTTTTTTTTTGGCTTACTCAGGTTCAATGAGTCCATTCTCTAAATAAATAGATAGGCTGCATAGATAAATAAATATTGTTTTTAACTATTTGTCAATACAACTACAGCCCAATTCTAACCCTGTGACCCTTACCACTCAGAGACAACTGAGAGTGTGAAACTATGGCAACAGCTTAGCTAAAGACTCCCATTGGACCACCTTTATCATACTAATGATCCATGGAAGCGTATATCTCTAGCTGTCTCCACCAGCAGGTTTAGCAATAAGAACCTTTTCTAAAGAGAGGTGAAACGTCTTTAAGACCTTTAACCAAGTCCAGTTAGCATGTGGCTCAAGCCTTGAATATCAATGAAATGCATACCTGCACAGATGTCTTGCTAAATTAAAAACGTTTTAAACTTAAGGATATTGTTTATAACCTCTATTATTATATATTTCTACTCGAAGACAAGTTCTAGACCCAGTCCTGAGTGGAAACATTGCCAAGGAGCCAATGGTTGCTGGGCCTTGAGATGTGGGGCCCAGTTCAAGAAAGCCATAAAACAACTATAGTTGGCCCCCAGCTTCAAGAATAGGTAACAGGGTTGGGTACATTGCCAGGCAGCCAAAGACACGGCCCCAAATGTACTCACTAAATCACTCAATATTACCAGAGACAAGTTCTAGGGATGTAATCTCTCCAGTGAACAGAATCTAAGATTGGAATTGGAGGTGTACCATTTCGAAAAAGTTGGGTTTACCACTGCACATGGCGTTAGATTTTGATCAAACTCATGGAGAGAGGCAGATTTTTTATTCTATTATTTTAGTTGCCAAGAGTGTGTGGTGCATAATGGGTATGAGTATACTCACTAACCCATTGGATGGGTAAAGTTGTGTTGGACTTCTTCCCAAAACAAATGCAACAATTTACAGGTGGTAAAATCAGTGGTTGTTGTTTTTTTTTCTATTAATTTTGTATTGTATTGTATCTATTTATTTAATGATTTTAATGCTCTGTTTTGTGTAAAGCACTTTGAGTTAATTATCTATAAATGGTGCTCTGTAAATAAACTTGCCTTGCCTATGTTTGAAAGAGGAGGGCTTTGACTGTTGTTTGTCTTTATGCAGTGAACACTTAGTTGACATACATTATATGGTCCTTTTGGAGTCTGTAGATGGGTTTCTGGAAAAGATACAGCTAAGAAATCTCCAGTTCTGCTGAGGGGCTTTTGTGCAATAATGCAGAAAGGATGTAAAAAAGGTTGACCATTTATCAAGTGTAATAAGGAAAAATCCTCTTTCAATGTAAATGTCTGCAAGACTTCAGTAATCCATTGATCAGTCTTGAATTGATGTATAAATAGTTTTTTTATTTCATCACCTGAAAGTGCTAACTCTCGACCAAGTCCAACTTAAGAACATTGGAACCCTTTTAATGCTCTATGAGGAATTTTCAAGATAACCACTAGAGCATTTTCTTTCATCCTCACAACAGTTGCTAAGATGGCAGCATATTTCCAGTAAAGAACCATCTTTACCCCTTCTTCCATTTTAGCGACAAGGTACCTGTGACATTTTGTGCCCTTCGATGATTCAGTTATTTACCTGGGTGGCGAGGCTGAAGATGTCCACGACCGTGACAGAGTTCCCGCAGCTTGCCCACACTGAGTCATCTAACACCAACAGTGTCCGCACTGGTTCTGAGCCCAGGCTCACACATCTGCTGGAGTCAGGGTCCCAAAGGTCATCTGAAGAACAAACAGAAAAGAAACTGTGAGTAGAAAAAAAAACTAAAAGCGGAGACATACCGTTGAAAACGACCAAGATGTTAAAAACAACACCTTCACATCGCTGGCTATTATCACAGTTAGCCAACAGTTCAGATAATAAACTCTCGGCACGTCCCCCACTTCTACTGGAACACATCGAGCGGGGCAATTAAATTCAACTCTTCCCACTTGTACCTCAGCAAGTAAGCTAGGTGTTTACTTTAAAAATACTCTTAAAACGTTGTTGAGCAATTACTAAAGCATCAGCAGAGAGGGTTTCCAGTGGAGAGGGTCATTTTCTCTCACTCTAATGAAAAAACAGCAGTATGAAAAGAAAGAAGAAAACAAACTACAGGTTGACTCTTTATGAAGACTGTAGACTTCCATTTGAAACGCTACACACTGTGCATCCCAATGTTTGCACCCTTGCCACCCACAAACTCATAAGTGGAGTACGCTTTAATCCACTTTCAAACTATTTATCATCACTTCTTTCTCTCGCTCTCTCTCTCTCTCTCTCTCTCTTTTTGCTTCATATCTGTGAAAATGAAGCAGACCTTTTTTTTTTCTTTGAGCTTTAATCACGGGACACACGTTGCAGCTGCCACAGAAGCACATTAAAAAAAAAAAGGTGAATAACATAAGCATTTCCTTTGCTGTGCGTTAATGAAGCAAAATTAGAGAAGGGGAGTGCACCCAGCCATTTAATTAACATTTTGAGTTGTTTATTTCTGCCTTTCATAGCAGAATAGCTTTACAATGCCTTCTGACTTCCACAGGTTAATTGCTTGGCATGTTATAAAGGTCATATTCCCACCTTTTCAAATGTCGCTCTTGTAAATGTCCCCCCCCCCCCTCCCCGGGTCCCTCAAAGCCACACCGAAAGCTTCTTCCTCTTCGAGCTCCATTTGTCACTCTTCTTTAACTTCTCCGTCTTGTTTTGCTGAATATTTTCATTGTAGGTTGACAGGATGTGTGATGTGCATATCTTGGTTACAGGAGCTGGAGCACATTATTCACTAGGCAACAATATGTTGCATGCATGCGTAAGCCTTTTGATACAAGTCTCAACTGAAACCTCGGCGTTTCCTGGCTGCTGCAGACTCCTTGTTTAGACAGTGGCATGCTAGTCAGGTGCATAAATCTTTAACAGATGTGCCGAATCCACAAACATTTTCCCGACATCCTCCAGAGCTTTTCTCCTGTCTGTGTTTTTTTTTTTTTTTTTTTTTTTTTTAATATACAAAGCATGAATGGTAATATTTAATCGGCAGGCAGCAGCTTGGTGTAATTAATCATCCTTTCTGCTTGGGAGGAGAGAGGAGCACAGGAGGAAGGCAGGCACATTGACGTTCTGTGGCCAGGTAAGAGGAACCTGGTGATAGAGCTATTGTGCTCCTGCTGACTGTGAAGGCTGCAAACCAGCGCTCAGATGGTGTTAAGCCCCCCCCTGGCCTTGTGCAATGCCTGACTAAACATGGCATGCCATCTACCACATGGTGTTATTTTCATACTTACAGCGGGTGTGGAAATCAAGAGGAAAGGCGAGGAGAGTGATTCTAAGGCAACTGTTTGAAAGGCAGTCCTAAGTTATTGCAATTTTTTTTGGGGAAAATGGGTTGACTGAATAATCCATCGACCGTGTCTCATAACATCACTTCAAAAAGACCATGTGAATGAAGCCAATTAAAATCAGAGCACAAAAGATGAATTCATAAAGGTTTACCGTAAAAACGTATATTAGTTACCCGGGCTTTCATTGACTTCACTCGAAGAAATGAACCTGCCTTTATTTGGGACAGGCGTCAGTAAGAGACGAGCCTTTCAGAATTTTAAACTACACTTCTGCTCAGCAAAGATGGTAAAGACAGTTTTTTTTTTTACTGTGTAAAAAATTAGGAATTCAATCAACAATTAAATTACTAATTTGATTTTTGCTTTGTTAGGGTGGTTTCACATTAGAGACCCGGGCCCCGGATCTAAGTAGACTTGACCTTAAAGTCCGGTTCATCTGATCAGTGTGAACACAAACGTACCATACTCTGATACTGTGCCCGAGTCCGCTTGATGAGACGGTCAGATGTACTCGAGTACGGTCTGTGGGAGATGTGAACGCAACCGTGCTCTAACAAGAAAGCGGACCGCTATATGACCTAATTCTAAATGGCTCCTGTTACTTCAAAAACAGTCCTATCTGTGCAGCACGGGCCCGTTTCATCCTCTGAGCTGCATGGTAGATGTGGAAGTAGTAGAAGAGGGTGTTTGTTGGCTTCTCAGAAATAACAAAACATCCACAGTTAGCAGTGGTTGCCATGGTCGCTGCTTCAGCACAGAGGCCTCTCATGGAGTTTAGAACACCATGCAGGCTCTTAAAGGGACAGAGCCTTAAAGTGGGATGGGCTTTTGTCTGAAGCTTCATGGTGTTGAAAACAATACAAATGGTTAGTGCTACTTATTTCACCGTAGGGAATATCTAATTATTGATTAACACTCATTAACCGTCAGATATAATCTAACATTTCCTCATACATGCAGACTGATTCTGGATCTATATCTGACGGGGGAAATGAAGGGAAACTAAGTCAACGTCATGTTTTAAATCTCTTTACTTTAATATATTGTTAATTTTAATTGTTGGGTCTTTATGAGTATTTTAAAGTTGAAATTAGTTTTGGCTTTATATTCCAATTAATTTCAGGATGATACTTTTTATAATAGTGTAGGGGTGACAGTAGCCTAGTGGTTAGTGTGCAGAGCCCCATGTACAGAGGCCATAATTCTCCAAGTGGACGGCCCGGTTTCGAAATCCGACCTGTGGCTCCTTTCCAACATGTCATGCCCCACTCTCTCTCTCTCCCTCCCCGATTTCTGACTCTATCAACTGTCCTGTCTCACATAAAAGGCATACAAAGCCCAAAAACACCTTTTCAAAAATACTAACTGTGGCAAGAACACAACCGTTCTACCATAAAGAACGTACAGTCAACACAATGGTAGACTCAAAAGAACATCCATCCGTCTGCAGATAAATCAACCTTGCTTATGAAGTCAGCTTACCTTTGTTGCTCCTTCCATAAACCATCACCGCCCCGTTCCGCAGGCCGGCGAACAGGAAGCGAGCCGAGTGCTTCAGGCACAGCACGGGGCAGCCGTCTGGGTTGTGGAGGGTCAGCAGGCATTGGGCTGCGGTGTCCACGCTGCCGTAGACCAGTATGCTGGGAGAAGAAACGCAGAGCAAGCCAACGTGATAAATGAGTGTCATTTGAAATGACAGAGTGCCTCGTTTTCATGCCGTTTGATTTAACAGTGCACTTTGGAGCAGAGCATTGTGCATGTGCATCCACTCCGTCTTTCTCATGTTTGAAATGCCATCTGAAACTTTGCTGCATCTTATTGTCTTCTTCAGGATGAAAAATGCACACCGCCGTGCGTGCTTTCTCTCTCTATGAGAAGAAAATGTAAAGCAGCATTGGAGCTGACAGTCTTTGGAGTGTGCTAAAAATGCTGAAATTGTTGTTTTTCCCTATTTTATTGTGCCTCTTTATTTTTTTCTTTCCCCTGAATAGACACATAAATTGAAGAAGGATGAGTCAGCATTAACAAAAAAAAGTGCTGCCATACGATTTAGGCAGCTGTAAAAAGACTAAACATCAGTAAATAAAAATTACAGAATAGCACAAACATCCTTTCTAAATCCATGGTCGAGGAATATTTCCTGCTTTAAAGACTGTAGGTATTTACAGTACCAGGAGACGGAGATTAAAGCGATCCCCTCGTGCACACAAAGGGAAGGGAGGGGGATCAGAAGGTTTATTGGATTTGAAAATGAAACTTGTGATCGTAGCAGCAGTAGCAGGATTGATGTCTGTTAGGGCTTCAACTTTGATTTCCTGCTTTGATGAAATATTGACAAGCAAATCCATACAGCGATAAATGTCTTTGGAGCGTAAGAAAGGGTAATGCAGGATATTATCATCTAGCAGGAGAGGTGCAGGATGCTGAAAACACTTTTATATTTCTCATTACATCTAATTTCACAATACGACCTCATTTTACATGATTTTATTTTGTTTTTCTTCATGTCGTATCAGTGTCTCACCGTCCATCGTCCAATCCCACACAGATGTTGGCAGCGCTCCCCGACGGGGTCTTGTGAACTCCCGCCTCCTCTTCCTCATTAGGGGAAGCTTCTGGCACATATTCAAGACAGCGGACACCTGAGCCGACCTGCAGACTCTTCACAGCTCTTGGCATGGGCCTGTTGAGGGAGAATATCTCTATCTGCCCCTGGGAACCTTCTCCTCTGCCTGCCACCTGTAGGGAGGGAGGAACGGAAAGAAAAAAAAAAAAAAACCTGGTTTAAAAAAAGGTCGAGACCCCGTGTTAAGCTGCACCAGTGGACTGAATCATAATGCCACGGGTAATAAACTATTCCGCTGAAACAGAATAAGAAGGAGATAGGAGGAGCAAAGAGCAGAGCCGGGGCCGGCCTGCCTCAGATCACGCCCGCAGTGTGTTTCACCGTCTTAATCAAATTAACGTGCAGGCCGGAGGATAATGTGCCTTTGGGTTACACGTTCTCTACCTGTCAGCAATTTCATTTTCAAGAAAGTTCAAATCAATTATCCTTTCAGACCTTGTCGTCCGTAGTCCTCGCTCGCTTTTCTTGAATATCACTTAGAATGTTAAACACATTACGTAATGGACTCACAATGTCATCCCCGAACATCAAACAATTCTTAAAACTCCGGGATCTTTTCATCAGCCCAGAACAGAGAGGCTGTCGTAAGTTTCTGAAACTCTTTGATTTGTTTAACAATGAGGTTTTTTTTTTTTTTTTTTTTTTTATGAGTTTACAGGATCAAGTGACTGTTCTTCTGACTTCTTATATAAACTGTGATGGGAAGGTTACTTTGAAAGGGGGAAAAGTTAGAGATCACAACTTCTTACTGACACTCTGTTCAAATAGTTCGAGAACTTTTTAATGACTTCATCACAGAGATGTTTCACACCACATTTGTTTCATTTTGATCACTTTTTATTTTTATAAATGAATGAAACTTTACATTAAAGAGTCTTTTAAACAATCTTATCATATTTAGTTTTGTCCTAGCAAGAGGTGACCATACTCGAGGATGGTCATTGTTCGGACCCGAACCCAAACAAGGGCTGCCCGCCTACAGGACGACAGCCTCTGTACCGGTGATACGACCCAGCCGCTAGCCCATCTGCGCCCCAACTCATTAATCCTTTTAGTACTTTTAATGCACTTCTGAAAACCACTTTAAATCGATCATCTTAGTCTGTGTATGAAGAAATCACCCGAAAGTATTGATAGAAGCAGCTTATCCATGTTTAGAGATTTTCATTGGCTACAATAGATGTCAGTCGTCGGCACAGTCGCCTACAATTGGCCGTAAATCTTTTCACTGGATTTAATCAGGAGAGTTCAGAAAATCTTCAAATGGTGAGTTTAAAGATGTAGTTTGTTTTTTGGTGGTCTGACGCGCTCACACTGGGCCGTCAGTGTGTGTGCCTGCTGTATTGGCCATAAAAATGGCATAAGTATACAATCTAAAAAAAAAATACTATAATAATAATATTGAGAACATTGACATGTAAAGAAAAAGAGCCTTTCCATGAGAACAGTTGAAAATGGATTGTGTTTTTGAGATCTCAAACTGGACAACTAAACATTATACTGCTTTATACACATGAATCTGTTTTCTTAAACCCCTACTGGGTTTCAACATGACCAAGGTGACACTGAACAATTGTAGGCAGTCTGCTCAGTACAAATGAAGACGAAAAAGCAAGAATTCAAACAGCGCCTTTGAAAGCTGGAAGCTTCATGTGGCTCAATTTGGATTGATTGGAAGTGTCTATCATTCAGCGCCTCTGGATGTCTGTCCCTTTAGAAGAAAAAAAAAAAAAATAACTCTAACAAACAAGAAAGCCACCTTAAATTTTATCAACAAAAAAAAAAGTCCCGCTGTCATAACAAGCTGCTCAAGGCCTAGTGTTTTGTTTTCCTGTGTTACACATTTATATTGGTCTTTGTGTAATCCTGTCAAAGCCAATGCTGAGAAAACGCAGACAGCAGGGGCCCTCCAACCTCTATCTCTGATACATTTCCAATTAAAGTGGCGTTGCTCCCAATCCCAAACAATTAAAGTGTCGCTGTGGGTTTTCAGTGTAATTTTATCCATTATGCCTTTGTGTGGCCCGGGTGGAGGTCCCGACAGAATACAATGTTCTTTAAGGGAAAGAAGCATGGCTGCTTGCTGCTCCGACACCGAAGATTTATTCTCTGTATGAATCACATCGTGTGAATGTGACGTGAGCTAAATATAGTCTTTAGCTCCTTCTCCTCCACAGTCACCCTTATTTGCATGCAATCATTTGTTTGATTCGTATCAGTGTGCAGAATCTGGACAGGAGCGATCCTGTGGGCTCTTGAGAATGAGCCAGAACGAATAATGGTCTGTTGCACGGGGCTGAAAAAAAAGATAGCAAGGACTTATCTTGGAGCGAGGAGCCCTACAAAACACTGCTTCAAGTGACTCTGTGAATCCAGAGCCAGAGGCAAACCTCGCTTCAGTCCAAACCCTCCACATTTTAAACATGTCCATCTGGACACTATCCCTGTAAAGGGTCCTTTTTCTTTCCTTCTTTCCACCTCCCTCTGCTTGATATCCTCTGTCCTGACAAAGTCATCATCACTGATTTGGAGAAACAGATGTCTGGAGTGCTGCCCTGGACAGATTTCACCTCTCAGCTTGGGAGACACAAAAACTTCCCAAACAGTAAATGCCCTGCCAGCATTAATTAGATAGCTGTGGATGCAGCGAGGAACCATAGGAGAATGGTCGTGACGGCACACTGTGCAGACTCCAAAACCACGGGTCACCAGATTGTTGATGTACTCAGAAATGGATGCATTTAAAAAAATTCCCCCATCAGTGCCACTTGTTGTGAATCCTAACTTCCTGAATAAGTTCATAAACGAGGAACACAGAGGCGTAGTTAGTGTTGGATGTTGGCAAATGGGGACAGGGAAGGTGAAGACAAACAGGGGGGACACTGGGGTATCAGGCTGATTAGACACAATGTCATTACTCTGATCAAAGCACACAGAAATCCCCATAGCTCATCTCACTTTAACATGATTAGTGTCATCCCATATTTGACAAGCCTGCCAGGGAGGTAGCACCAGCTGAGGGAGGCTAATTATTCTTGCAGGATCTGCAGGCTTTCACTGTGGTTTTTCAGTGGAAACAGGTTTTTAGCTGTTGCTTTGGTTCAGTACATGTTGTAACGATCATTGTGCTGGAACAAGGTCAGATGTGCTTAAAGGAAGAATGTGCAACTTTTTGATCCAGTAGATGTCGCCCTTGAGCACCAGCATTAGATTAGATAGCATTAGACGTGTTCCGTTTGCTTGGTTTACAGACTTTGGTGTAAGCAGAAAGGTACTGCAGAGACTTTTTCCTCCTGAGATTTCAGCTCTTAAATAGAAATCATCTGCAGGTGCTGACATTGGTACTTTTACTTAATGTGATGACATTCCTTTTAGAATCTGTTAACTCTCGAAATTAAGGTTGCAATATTCACAATTAACTAATTGCTTAATAGCATGCTAATTATTAGCACACTGGCTGCTTATTGGTCATTATGCAGCCATTAGTACCTTACTCCATATGACCATAATCTTTAGCTAATAGGCCATTAAGAGTTTTCCCTTAATACCCTCCTATGAACTGCTTATTAACATGCCGACCACTAGGAAGGGGAAGAGGGGAAAGCTTTCTGGGCCAAAGCCACATGGGGGGGGCCCTATGGAGGTCATCAAAAGCAGCGTCCATCCTAAAGGCAAGACCGAGTAAAATGCTTTTGATTCCGAGACGAGACCTTCAAAAAGCGATCTTGAGACAAAGATCGATCTCGAGTACCACAACACTAGCACAGTTCATCCAGGATATCAATTATGACTGCCTCCAAACACAAAAATATGATTATAATTTGATCAACAGGTGATACAGAGTATATTCATTGTTAATGAACAACGCTCCAGCACAGTTTTCCTTCTCTCAGATTCTGATCATTTGAGGCAAACTCACTCCTTCAAAATTAATTCCAAGAAAAGACTATCAGTACTTCTGTCGGCCAGGATTTTAAAAAACAGCTACACCTACTTCAGGATTAATTCGCTTCTTGTATGGTTGTAATTTGTAATTGAAATATATAAAATTATATCAGCTAAAATAAGGTGACATTAAAGAAATGTGAGCAGACACATGTGGACCTGGATGGTCACACAGAGCAGAAATCCTCGGCTCTTTTCTTGAATTGTATGTTGAAGGGTTACAGGTTGATTTGTACTTGCCCTCAAAGACTGCGAGACTCTCTTGACAATATCGCTCAAACCTGAGGCATGCATTGAACTTCTCTTGAATGGCATGAGAAACGACTCGACCTGATAAAGTTTAGCTCTTTGCTGTGTGCCTGACTGCAATGCCTTGAAGATAACTGAACAGATATCTGCTGAAGCGACGGTTAATGGCTAGTTGTGCCTGAATGCACACAGATGTTAAGAATAAAAAAACCCACCAGAAACACAATTGCCTTTAAACTACACAATTAATGGTCCTCTTTAAATTAACAGTCAGCATTCTTGCTGTACATCCAAGTGAAACAATACATTTAATTGACCAATCATGTAAACAGTCAGACTGCAGCTATATGGTTGTTTTGAACTCTGATGGCTTTTTCTCATTTTCAGAATTGTAACTTCATACTGGGATTTTAATAAAGTTTCTCATGTTGTTTTTCTGATTCAGTGGCCCTGACAGATTTATTTTGGGGCCTTTATTGTAGAGATAGGACAGTGGATAGAGCTGGAAATCAACAGAGAGAGAGAGAGAGTGAGTGTGGAACGACATGCGGGAAAAGAGCCACAGGTCAGACCCGAACCCGGGTCACCCGCCTGGAGGACCAATAGGCCTAGCTAGTTGGGGCGTGCACTATCCCCTAGGCCAAGGGAACCCAGACTTTTCGGCATGTGACCCCTTAAAATGAGGTGATAGAGACATGGGGACCGTCACTGTCCATGGAGGTGGTTAAAACAGACGGGCAGACTAATAGGCTAATATTATTTTAGTAATTTTTTGAAAGAAATGCTAGAAGCAGAACAAAATGAATCTCTTGATCTAACTTGTTTTGTATATGTTCACAATAATGGGTAAAATATGGATTTTTTTTTTAGTCATTTTTCACAAGTATGTTTTTTTTTAGAAGGAATCTCGCCACCCTCCACTCATGGTCTTGCGACCCCCACTTTGGGAACCCCTGCCCGAGGCTATTGGCAACCCCCTGATTGTGTTTTTGGTGGTAAATATTTTCTTTTACATGAGAAATGTTAGTGATGGGAGGAATGATAAGATTGTTGTGACAGACACATTTCTGTGTAAACTATCTTATCCTATCACAGATTGTTCATAATCTGTTTTATCCCGAGTTGTTGAGTCTCTCATGAGGGATTCATGCTATTAAGCCTTTATTTAGCAGCATTTTCACAATTTATGGGAAAATTAAAAGCATCTTGACCAGCAGTTCATGTGTATGCTAACTGCTAGCCATGAAATGAAAACCAGGCAATTTGTAACTCACCTTTCAGTGACCAATCGAAATGACTAATTTTAAATTTAAAGGATTTCATTATGTCTCAGATGCTTGCTCGTCTTCGTTCACCAACACTACTGGAAGCATCCTGATCGGTTACACACATCAGGTGGCCATGCTACCTTTATTCCTCCAAACGGTTTGGGAGGTCGAAGTCAGGTGAATTCCAGTCAACTGTAATAGTCCGAGCTCTAGGAGAAGTTGAAGGTCACAGTGACCTCTGCCCCTTTAAACACTGATATCAGAGTCCTCTAAATGCCAGCTCCAACATATCTCATTTTCCCATCTCAGCTAGCTACCTGGTCCATTTTACAATAGCTCCACAAAGTACCTGAGTGTGAGACACAGAGCCGCCCTTTGTGTCTGTGGGGGCATACACTTGATTTAGTCACCTTTAAGGTCGGAGGAGGATTACCTGATAAATTGCCCACCATCTCCGAAAAGATGGGAGAGGGAACACAAAAATGATAATTATAAGATTAACGGCAGATTCTTTCAGGTTTTTTTCTTCTTCCTCTGAATTCCTCCTGTTTCTAGATCAGGCTAAATTCCCTCAAGCGCAGGGATTGTGATATCATATTCTTGCAGCACATATTTCCCCACTCATCATAAAATACTCTGCAGCAGTTACCTTCCACCTGCCTTAAAAACTGTATTAATTTACACTTCCCTGACAACATTGTACGGAGAAAAATGGCTGGGTGTCTCATTCCTAGCCTTGAGAAACATCTTTAATTCCTTTTTAATGAATGAGAGCAGAATGGCGGGAGGACATGTAAACGGCCATGGTAGGTAATAGTCTTAAAAAGCTTCATTTATCTGCAACTGAGAATATGCATTATTTTGTCTTGTCTTGGTTTTAGTTCTTTGGCATTCATCTGAGTGTGTGTGTGGGTTGGTGAGGATGCAGAATGTATGTAAGCTACTTACCCAGAGGTAGCCTTGAGGTAAGGAGGTGCTCGCTGCAGAGAAGCCCAACAAAGCACAGTGAACAGGGTTGTGGAGGGCAGCCTCCAGCTACAAGAGAAGAAATAAATATTGATTTAATATGTGTCTTGGCTCAATACTGCAACTTTCTTATTTTCATTCTTCTCATGCAGTCACAAAACACATCTTGTAAGTGACCACACAGCTGATCTTGGCAGGTCACTCTTCACGAGGATGCATGTTGAACAAAACTGCTTGCTAACAGCACGGTGCCTGAAGTCTGCCTTCCACAAGAACAATGGCTTTTTAAACACATACACACACAATAAGCTGTGAATCGAGGAAGAAAAAAGCTAGTTTGAAGCATCTGCTGATACGGCTAGGTGTTGCACGTCTGTTTGTTTTACATTTACTTGTTCAGCCATATAACCCACGCATTCATGCATTATTCCTAATTTTTTAAACTTTCATCCCAAAACAGTTGTGGATCATTTTGCATGTTCTTTTCCTTTTTGTTGTGTGTAATTTGTCAGTGTATGTTGTCAAACAGACTTTCTTTTAATGATGTAATGTATGCAGGGAGCACAGTGTTGCCTGAGGCAGATCTCCCGCCTGGGGAAAAAAAAAAAAAGATACATCCTCTCTGCTCTTACCTTCTATCTAACCTGTTTGCACTTTCTTTTTTTTTTTACAGAATCCCTACTTTAAAGCTCCTGTGGGGAGTTTCTAAGTTGCTACCATAACAGACTGGAAGTAATTCTGATGCTTCTTTATGATCCACAAAAGCAAACAAGACCACAAGCATAAAGATTGATTATTTTTAGTGAGCTATTTTTATTGCCTAGAACTGCTGCCGGAGGGTAGGTGTCAGACAAGATAGATAAACAGCTTTTACGTTATTTGCAGTGAAGACTCACAAAGATGAATACGATTATCAGCTGGAAGCGATTTATTTGCCTTAATTTGAGCAGATAGAGAAGGACATTAGGAGAGAGAGTGAGGAATGACATGCAAGAAAGGAGCCACAGGTCGGACTTGAACCCAAGCTGCCCGCTTGGATGACTATCGCCTCCATACATGGGGCGCAACCTTACCGCTAGGCAATCTACATCTACTGTACACCCTGTGCAAGATATTTTTTGTTCGTTTAAAAATACTACTTACACATGTACGGAACAAGATAATGAACAAGAAGTTTCACTCTGTCCACAGGGGGCACCAAACTCAACACAAACCAAAAGTTCCTCTCAGGAGCTTTAACTATTCTGAAAAGAGTTTATCTCATTAGTTGTGAGCCCAAAACACAAGACAAAGCAAGTAAAATAGCAACAAATAATTCCAAATGTTCATATTAGGACGTAACCTGAATGTAAAATATTTTAGATTACTTTTCCATTGCTACTTTCGAGATCAAAAGAACAACAATATTTGATCTCTTAGGTATTGCTGGAGGCAAAAAGAAGAGTTTTTGGCCTAGTTTGGCTCTCTCCACACAATTTCTATAACTGTATAATTAGATGGGTTGTTTTGGGCTCAGTTTTGGTGTTACCTTTTTTAGTTTCTCTTCATTAGCTAACAAGAGGGGTTCACTCACAAGGGTCCAGATACTGAAATCATGAACCAGAGCTCTATTTATATCAGTAAAATGAGCCAACATCTCTCGTGAATGGAAAATAAATCTATATTCCTTCGACATATATCAGATTTGTTTGCCTGAAACGAAGTGATGGAGGTTGACATTTACATCACAGAGCCTTTGGCAGACACATCACACCCCCGTGGTGAAAGCTGCTCTTTTAAACAGCCGTCCATCAGACAGGAATTTCTTTTTATTTCGGTACATGACCGCTAACAGTCGGCCATATGACAGACAGAATGGTTAATTGTGTGGTGTTTGGGGCGTTGAGGAGTGTGTGAATTTCTGGGTGAAAGGAAGGGAGGATGGGGGGTTGTAGAGAGGGTCAGCGATGAGCGCCATGCGTCTTTAACTGTCGTCCTCCGCGGCGGCAAGTATCAATCAAAGGTAATTTATAGCCCGGCCCCTCCCACTTTTCCTCTGATGTTGTGTGTGTTTGTCTACACCCAACAACAACAAAAAAGAAATAGCAGCCAGATCCCTTCTCTTTCCATCTGCACTGCGAGGTTATTCCTCCACTCCCCCCGTGTCAGTCTCCATCTATTTAAATTCATGGCACAGATGCACTGCTCGTCCTTTCTATCAATCTCACGCTCCCTATTTCCCATTTCTCCTTTCCTTGTGTTGTTGTAATGTCCGCTCTTGTTCCTCTGTTTTCCGCCTTTCCTCCCTCTCCCCCCTTAGCTAGCCCTCTGTCAAGTGCAGAGAAGTGTTTTCTTTTTGATAGGTAATTAAGCGGCAGCCATAATAGGTGTCCATATGGAGGCCCTGTGGTTAAGAGAGGGAGAGGGCTGGCGGACCCAGAGGGACTTGAGCGCTTTAACAGCCGACGCCGGTAGTTCAATGGTGGTTGGATTTTTACCCGTCACCCGAGACCAGCAAGCATCGCAGGCCAATCTTTCCGGGCACTGATTGCTTTGTATGTTAGCTCTCTCCAGAGTCGGCCTGGCGATGCATGTGGGATCCATCGGCCGCGTCAGAGCGGTCCCATCACAGCTTCATAAGGTATTCAAAGGCAGGAATGTGCGCTGGGATCGTTCAGATAAAGAGCTGCTGAGTAAATGAGGAGGCTTGTTCCTCAATGAGATATCAAGCATTTCAAAAATCTGACACCTCCTTCTGTAAAAATGACTGTGTGTATGGAAAGGAAATCTCATTTTGGAATATTTTACAAGTAACGAGCTGTTTCTTAGTGACATCCTACTGTGCTAAATATATTAAATAGTACTTATTTTCATACCATTATTTTAAACCACACAATTATGCAATAATTAGCGTTATTTAATTTGAAAAGAACCCCTCCGACTGTTACATGAAGCGACTCTGTGTATGTTAATGGTTCACAGGGCTGTACAGTACACAAGAGAAACCAAGCCGGTATAGATTGTGTTCCCACAAGTGCAGACAGTGACTATGGTCAATACAGTAACCCTGCGGCTCCACTTATTGAACTTATTTAAACAGCCAGCAGAAAGAGCCTGGGTGAGCACAACAACAAAGCCTGGGAGATCATTTCCACCTGCGAGTGTGCAAATTATATCGACAGGTACAAAAGGACACGTGGGGTCTTCTGCTGTGACCGTATCAGTGGAGATCTCAATGCTAATAAGGTATCAGTGAGGCACCATTTAAAAATCAATGAGATCCAAGCATCTTCCAAGTCAATTGTCAGTCTCGTTTATAGCACAGAGTATTTGCATGCTTGTGTGTGTAGGTGTGTGTTTGCAGAGCTCTGGGTAGCTTGATAGGCTGAAGATATTCCCAGGTGTGGAGGCAGGATGAGAGAGGAAGGTGAGCCTGTAAGCCAGCTGAGGGAGGTTTGATGGGAGTGCTTCAGGGAGCGTGCAGAGGAAAAGGGAGGAAACGGGCAGGTGAGCTAATTAAAGCGAGATTTGTTGATGTGATGAGAGGGCGGCCTCCCAGCTGCTGGTTACTGGTGACCCAATGGTCGACAAAGAGTCCGCCCCACCCATTACCCCAAGAGGGCGCCAGCCCATATGCTGTTTCCAGGTGTCTGTGGGTATCGTAGGAGCATCCATTGCTTTTCTGGGTGATTAATGTAAAATGTGTGTAATTAGAGCAGCTCCTGCAGGATGGAATGGATGCTGCCATTTATTTGGAATCTCTTCGGTCTAATGAGATTTTTTTTTCCCTCGTAACACACTGTTACAGCTCCTGGCTCTGTTGATCAATCGATCCAAGAAGTGGATGCCATTGGTGGTAATCTTATCATAGGATGTTTTGAAGAAGTAGCCAATGTGTCATCACCAATCAGTTTAGCAGCCACCCCTTTTGAAGCCTCGATTTTAGAAATTTTGGATGTGGTCCACCTTGGCTTTTTTGGATCCATAAGAGACCATATTGCATACAACGGGGTAGATATGAGGTATTAAATCTCTATTCTGGCTGATGTGATAGTGACCTGTCAATACCAGGTAGCAAGGCCTAAAGCAAACCTTCTTCACATTCATGTTACTCTTATGGGAACCAATATTTTCACAATTTACAACGTCCTCCTCTCAAGAAGAGGACCTGCTGGTCGTTTGGAAGTTGGAAGGTTTGCAGTTTGCAGCCACCAGGGGGCTCTCAATCAAAACAATGACAAAAGATGATTTCAAGGCTAGCGGGGAATCATGGGAGTGATTCTATCTGCTACCCGCCAATGAAAACAAACTCCTCGTTGACCATAGTCAAGACCAGTCGGGGGAAACAGAACATAATATGTTTACCACCGATGTATCCAAGTCTAATTTACATTACGTTTTTTATCACAGCAGCACATACAGCAATAGTACGGCAGCTTTCAGTAGCGGTTCCCGCTTCCTTATGCAGCGGTCTTTGACTAAACATCTGCCGTTTGGCAACGTTGAACATATTGTGTCTGTCATGGAGGTTCAGTCATGGCCATCGCCACAAAAAGACACGTCCCGTTACAACTATAAAATTATGGATTTCTCTGGCTTTGATAACTCAAACTCAACAACAAAAATATATATGACATAGGTTTAGTCCATTTTTTAAAATTAATTTAGACCTATTTATGTAGACATTCTGAATAATATTCTACCTTTAAGGCTCTTCTGCCATGGCTTCACTTTTCAAACTAGAAGCTACGACCACTTCTCCAGAATGAAAATCAGAAATGGGTTTGTTGCCAAGTTTGTTTACACATAGATGGAATTTTGAACACAGTAAGTAAAACAAATAGGCAAAAAAAAACAAAAACGATTAAACAGCTGTACTCCTACTCTCAATTAAATAGAAATAAGATAAAAGTCTAAAAAAAATCACATTGACTAAAGATGCATGGATGAGCTGTACAGATGTGCAGGTGTGTGTATGATTAAGGTTGAGTGTTTCTATACAGTAAATGGGTCTGACATGACAGACTGATGGCTTGGTGCTCTTGGCTGTCAGCCTGTCAGAGCTCGGTTTGGATCTCTTCCACAAATCC